GGGGTGGCGGAGATGGGGACGGGGTATGTAAGGAAGGGGTGTGTGAGAAGGGGGGCTTTGGGTGGGGACGGGGGGGCGGTGTGAGGGAGGGGAGTGTCGGTGGTGAAAATAAGCATATGCACGCACGTGTGTGCATGCACGTGCATGTCGCTGCACATGTGTGCACACGTTCACGCGTGGTTCTGTGTTCGCTGACACGTATTCACTGCGTGAGCATTCATGCACGCACGCGGGTGTTCACACGCATGCGAGTGTTCGTGTGTGTGTGCACGCGTAGCCATGGGAGCGAGGTGACAGGAGGCGCAGGTGCTCACCAGCTCCCGGTCCCGGGCAGCCGTGTTGGCCTGGAGCACCTGGAGCACGGTCTCCAGGGGCACTTTCTGCAGGTGTACCCCGCTCTGAGGGAAGAAGGTGAGGCTGAGGCGGGGGCTCCTCCCCAGGCCCTCAGCACAGGCATTTCCGGTGCTAAGAAAGCTGGGGTACAGCCCACTGTCCGTGGGAAACGTTCTCTAAAGCACGTGTTCCCCCACAGAGAAAGTGGCAGGTCCCCAAGGCCTGACCCCAGGATGCCACCCGGCCAGGCTGCACCAGGATGCCAGCAGAGGCCCTGAGCAGCAGAGACACAGCCTGCAGGGCTGGCAAGAGCGGCAGGCACGCTCTCTTCCCAGCTGCTCCGTGTGCCACGGTCCCCTCCGCCGGTGCGGCCTCCAAACCACGTCTGCGGAAGCCGTCTGTTCAGCCGGCTGCTGCTTCAGGTGCACGCACTGGGGCAGACACCCGAGCCCGGCCCGAGCAGGATGCCCTGCAGCACGCCCCCAGCCTGGGGGTGAGCAGTGCGGGTGGCTCCCAGTTTAAGTGCTCTGGGCCCTGCCACGTGGCTTGCCAAGAGGGACGGAGAGATGGACGCCGCCCGCCATGACAGAGGGCTGTAGCCCGGGCACGCTTCTCCTGCCGTCAGCTGGAGGGGGCACAGGATGGCGCCTAGTGGGAGGAGGCTTTGCCAGCTGTCCACACTCTGCCCTAGACTGTCCAGCATGGGACATCGGCCTGTGTGCACTCGGGAGTGGGTGGGGCTGCCGCCTACCTCGCCCTCCAGCTCCTGATCACCGGCCTGGCTCACATCCACTCTGGAAGCCGAAGTTATGACGGATGCTTCCTCGCTGCCACCACGGGTGGCCTTGGCCTCCTTGGGGGTGCTGGGGGAGGCAGGTGGCCGTGCAGGCCAGTCCCATGTGCCCCCTTTCCACGGCTCTGTGGTGCCCTGCCTGGCAGGAACCCACAGGTCCACGCTTGGCACCACGTACGGGGCTGACGGTGATGCCTCGCCTCCGCCCCCAGCCCCCGCAGCATCCTCCAGCTCTGTCTCTGAGTCCGCGCTGCTGCTGTCCCCGCTGTCCCCGCTGTCCCCGCTGTCCTCACTGCTGCTGCTAGAACTCCACTGGACGCACCGCCGGGGCCTCCGCCGCCTCCGCCGCCGACTCTGCTTCTTCTGTGCAGAAGAGAAGGGCCCTCTGAAGTCGCGGCAGCCCAAGGACACTGAGGGACAAGGAGGCGAACCAGCCCTTGGGGAGTGGCTGCTCCAGACAACAGGGCGGGGGTGCCCACTGGCCAGCAGGCTCCCGCTCAGTTCTCGGAAGAGCTGCCGTGCCCAGAGCCCGCCTGTGCCTCCTCCCTCGCCCCGCCTTCCTCGTTCCGCGCAGAACGCCCACCCTGGGGACAGCTCGCACCCCTGCCATGCTCACCCCAACCATGATCTTCCACTTGCTCAGGCACTGGGAACCCGACCGGTGGGGCAGCTCTGCCGCGATTTTTGCCCAGTGACCTGTAAAGTGACACCATACGGGGAGTGCTCCACATGCAGCTCAGGATGCGCGGTTGGCCTGGAGGTGCATGGGCGTTCCCTCGAAGGGCTGCACGGACCCGCAGGCCCCTTCACCTCACAGGAGCCCCCGTGCCCAGATGCTCTGAGAAAAGTGGGTGCTGACATGTGGGGCCCGCCCACCACCTGCAGGGGCGTCCACTTCCCACCGAATCAGCCCCTCACAGAAGTCCTAGCAAACGCACCACCCAGAGAAAATCATCTCTGAGTAGCCAATTTACGTACAACGGCCCCTGCAAAACTGCTGGACCCAGCCCTTGGATCAGCTATTTCCAAAGGTTTCAGGAGCTTTTTCCCTTGGTGCTGGCAGGTGCCACACCGCTGCTCTCCCAGGTGCCTGATGGTCTGTACTGGAAGCCTTACTGTTCTGCCCTTCACAGAGCGAGGAGGCACCACAGACGTGAGCAAAGGTTTAGCTACAGGACACTCGGCCCAACACAGCCCTGCCCGCAGTCGAGGTCAATGGTCACCAGCAGAGGCTGCCCAACTACCACTACACAGCCAGAAACCGTGTGGCTGCTGAAGTGGCCACGGGAGAGAGAACGTGTAAACACGCAGACAGACGTTCGCAGTAGACAGCAGCTAACGATACGTTGCTAAGTAAAAAAAGCTGGGTTCACGTGATTCAATTTTTAAAAAGCTGCATTTTCCTGAAAAAGAAACTGTACACAGGAGGACTGGTAGATGCACCCAAAAATGTTCCCTCTGAGTGAAGAAGGCAGTGTGTCGACTGTCTTCTTCCTGTCCATCCATACTTCTAGGTTTTCCCTAGCGCCTGTGCGTTAGCTTGCAACGTGGTAAAAACCGCCGCCGTCTGCTCCGACAATGGAAACAGTGCCGGGCAGAGCTGATCTCGGCCAGGGCCCAGGACCCGCGATGCTCGCTGTCCGCACCCGTGAACCCAAAGCCACCAGACCCCGGAGAGCCAAGGCGTCACCACAACTCACCAGCCCCGTGTTTCTCTATTAATTCTATTAACTTTTCTTCTTCTCTGGGGCTCCATCGTCCCTTTTTTAGGCTGAAATGTAATCTTCTGAGGTACCTGGAAGGGACATGGAAACAAACAGGCATCTCAGACACTAGGACGCCCTGCTGTGTCCTGGCCTCTGCACTCGGGGCCTGCGTCCAGCCCAGCCTCTCCCGAGGACCACAGGAAGTCACAATTCCCTGGGCATCTTAGACGTCAGCATTCCCCAGTGTGTCCCGGCATCCAGCCTGGCCTCTCCCAGGGACCAAAGGGAGTGTTCGGCTGCCACAGCCACAGCCCCGACCCCAGGGATCACTGGGGTACTAGAGGAGACAGTGTCTTGGGCCCTGAGGCCTTGGGCCCAACAGAGTGGCACGTGGTCAGCACTAAAGCTAGCACTCTTGGCACTGCATTCCAGAAGGGACGGGGTCGGGGGATAGGACAAGAGGAATGAGGAAGACAGATGCACACCTCACACAAAGCCCGCCATAGGTACCTTCTCAGTGAACCTCTGTGATACCTCAGCCCAACTTAGGGCCAGAGAGCTGGCGTGTCGAGAGACACTTCCTGTATGCACCCCCACAGACAGTGACAGGGGCAAGGACAGTGTCCTCACACTCACCAGACCTGGAGCACCCCAAGAAGTAAAGCTTCTCCTGGAGGGGCAAGGGGCGTCCCAGAGTCTCCCTGCAGCCTTAGCTTTCGGGAGAGCTCAGGGGAGTCGGAACGAAGCTGACCGCTGTGGCGGGGGCCCAGCCTTGGGTTGGAACAAAGGAGGCTCTATCTGTGAAGGCAGGAAGACCCACCACCAAGTGTCTGCCGGGGGCAGCGTCTGAACAGCCTCGATGCACGCTGGTTCCTTTCACGTGAAGTAAGCCGGGATCCCACCCGACGCTATGCCCGGGGTGGGAAGGGGAGCGCCAGCGCTGGGGCGCAGCCTGGCAGCCAGGGAGCCGGATGCTGAGTGCCTGACCTCAGCATGGTGTGAACCAGCCCCGAGCTCCAAGCAGAGGGAAGAGCTGCCTGGAAAAGTGAGGCTTGGGGGCCCCCACTCCTCAGTCCTTACGGCCCCCCGACTGGCTTCTCCAAGCCCAGCACTACCAAACTACTGCACCACCCCCGACACTCAGGTCAGGGCGGGCCAGACCGAGGGCCACCCTGGCCCACGCATTCCTCGACAGGACAGACACAAAACCTTCAGGCACAGACGCTGCACGGTCTCCACACTCCGGAAGGAGAGAGGCTGCGTGAGCTCCCTCACAAATGCAGAACCGAGGAGGGAGGCAAGATTCCCTGAGGCAGGGCCCCCAGCCTGGTGGCACAGCACCGCCACTGGAGGGCCATGTAAAAGCCCAGATGGAGAGACTCAGGGTCTCCGGGGCCTGGAATCAGAGGCCCAAGCTCAGAGGCCCTGCACGCACTCTGTCAAGTCAGTTCAGGAAGGCACCAACCCCATCGCATGGGAGCAGTGGACTTTGCTTGAGACAAGCAAGATACGGAATGCAAGGGACCCAAGAGAGGAAACAGAGCAAGGCCGGAGGAGACATTTTCCAGTCTCAAGCTTCCTACAGAGCAATAGTTGTCAAGACGGCATGGTCCTGGCACAAGGGCAGACAGAGACCAACAGAAGGATGGAAAACCCAGAAACAAACCCTCACATCTATGGCCAACAAGGGTACCGAGGCAATTCAGTGGAGAAGAACAGTCTCTTCAACAAATGGTGCAGGGACAACTGGACCTCCACACGTGGAAGAATGAAGCTGGACCCCTACCTCACACAACACACAAAGAGTAACAGCACGTATCAGAGACCTACCATGAAACTTAAAACTATAAAACTCTTAGAAAAAGTCACCAGAGTAAATTTTCGTGATTTTAGACGAGCGAAAGCCTTAGATATGACGCCAAAAACACAAGTAACAAAAGAAAAAATAAATAAATTGGACTGCATCCAAACTAAAAACTTTTGTGTTTCAAAAGACACTATCACGAGAGTTACAGCCCACAGAAAACGTTTGTAAATCACGTATCTGATAAGGGACTTGTACCTGGAACATATAAAGAACCTTTATAAGTCAGTAACACAGAGACGAATAATTAAAAAAAGGGCAAAGTATCTGAATAGCCGTTTCTCGGAAAAAGGTTGACAAATGGCCGACAAGCACGTGAAAAGATACTGACGTTAGTCATTAAGCAAAAAAACGAAACCCAGGGTCATCGAGGGGATTCCGACTCCTAGCGACCCTCCAGTAGGGAGACACCGCTTCACACCCAGCAGGACGTATCCTCAGGAAGACAGCGGGTAGCAAGGGTTGCTGAGGCTGTGGAGAACGAGAACCTGTATGCCCTGCTACAGGAACGTAAAATGGGGCAGCCGCTATGGAGAAGTTTACCAATTCCTCCAAAGGTTAACCAGTCACCATGTGACCCAGCAATTCCACTGCCAGGTATACACCCAAAGTAACCGTACGTCCACACAAACACTTGTGCACGAACGGTCACAGCAACATTATTCGTAACAGTCGAGAAGTAGAACCAACACAACTGCCCGTGAACTCGTGAAGGGATAAACGAGCGTGGTACATCCATATACTTGGACGTTATTCAGCCATAAAAAGGAGCGCCAGGGCGTAGACGAACCTTGAACACGCAATGCTGAGTGAAACAAGCCGCTCACTGGAGGACAAACGCTGACTCCGTTCATAGGAAATGCCTAGAGCAGGCAAGCCCACGGAGACAGAAAACAGACCAGTGGTTGCCAGGGGCTGCGGGGCGGGCAGGGGATGGGGAGCGGCTGCTTACGGGTCATGGCTTCCTTTGTGGGGATGAAAATGTTCTAAATTTGACTGTGGTGACGACTGCACAACTCTGTGAATACGCTAAAACCTGGGAATGGTACACTTTAAAGGCTGAACCATATAGTGTATGAGCTCTACCTCAATAAATCTGTTAAAAAAAAAAAAAAAAAAGGACAAGCAGAGGAAAGGGGGACCAAGCCACTGGCCCAGGACCCTGCCAGTCAGCCGCCAGGGAGGGGACTTCAGGTGACAGGCTCTGAGGACACGCCACATGAAAGCCCGCCTGTTTCCCGACTGGGTCACCCTGGTACGCCAAGTCCCACGGCCACAGCCCCTCCTTACAGCGGGAAACCACCCCGGGCACCGCCGCCCACCCGCCCACAGCGCCACACTCCCTCCTTAGGGCAGGGAACCACCCCTGGGCACTGCCACCCGCCCGCCTGCCCATGGCGCCACACTCCCTCCTTACAGCGGGAAACCACCCCTGGGCACTGCCGCCCACCCGCCTGCCCACGGCGCCACACTCCCTCCTTATGGTGGGAAACCACCCCGGGCACTGCCGCCCACCTGCCCGCCCACCCACAGCCGGGGGAAGAAAAGCCCCTGGGCAGACTGTTAGCTGTGCAGCAGAAGTCCCCGAGTCCCTCCACAGACCACCATCCACCTACCGGTCTCGGCACTGGGCGTCACTCCGGCCTGGCACCTCCTCCCGAATTTTAAACCAGTCCTGCGCTCCGTGTTTGGCAACAGCCTGAAGTAACTTCTGCGGAGGGAGCATGCAGACCACACGGCACCTCTGTGAGACCAGCTGCAGTGCCCACCGGAGCCCACAGCCATTTAAGAAGGAAGCTGGGCACAGTGGCCACCATGACACCAGGGTTTCACTTCCCAAGGCTGGTCCTTCCCGCCCACAAGTCACCCCAGGAACCATAGTACCCAGACCACGTGCCAGCGCCCAGAGGAGCAAGGCACGACTTACAGCGTCCTCCTCAGGGGCCCAGCAGCCCTTCCTCAGGCTGGGGTCCAGGCTCTTGGTCCAGCGGTAGATGAGCTGCATGGAGTCTCGTCCTTCCATGTAGTAGACGACTGTGGGCAGGGACCACGCGCCTTAGGAGCTGCCCCCTGGACGCACCCTCCCCTGGTCATCAGCCCATCACCGAGACGGAGCCGTAGCCCGCGGGGACCACACACCCAGGCTCTCCCCTCCCGCCTCACAGCTGCCGTCGCAGCTGCCTCCATGGGCCTTGGGGCCACAGACTCGGGGTTCACTGGGCTCTGGGAGCAGGCGGGGGTGCAAGTGTACTTCTGCGGTAGGGGATGTGGCTGCCGACGCGCATCTCCTGCACCAGCTGGGTGAGCATGCAGTCCTCCTCCTCTGTCCACTCCTTGCGCTTCAGGTCCTTGTTGTGCTGCTGGAACTTCTGCAGGCACTGGAAGGCGCTGCGCTGCGTCTGCCGGGCCACACACGGGAGAGCGGGCGTCACCACGCACGGTAAGGGGAGGCCGGGCCCTGCCGTGTCTGCCCGGGCCACACACGGGACAGCGGGCGTCACCACGTGTGGTGAGGGGAGGCCGGGCCCTGCCGTGTCT